CGCAGTTCCAAAAGAAGACGAAACCTTTGATCCATTTGAATTACTAGGAGTGATCGGTGATGTGGCAGTCAGATGCCCTCTCAGTTGTACGCGAATTCGATGCTTGACGCCGTTGGTATGTGGGTGGCTTTCTCATAGCACCGACTACCACAAAGTAGTCGGTGCGGTAGACTAAACGAGGGGAGAGCATTGAACGAAACCCGAAGGAAGAGATTGGTCTAACTACCCGCTTTGGTTTTGTGGGTACTTAAAATCCTGCCATTGCAATTCCGCTGGGCGGCTTGGCTTCCAGACCATGCCAGTACATTTTTCCATTCCAGTATGCTAACTCCTTTGGACTTTAGGAATGGCTTGAAACACTGCACTGCAATGAACGCGAATAAAGTAGAAGACAAAAAATATTTTATCGCCCGTCGTAATCAGTTTTTTGCAAAATAGAATTGCAAAGTGTTTACCCCTAGAGCTACCTTTAAACTAACGAGGGAAATTCTTACTAGATATAGGATTTACTGTATGTCTATGCGATTGCAATTAATTCTAAAAATGTGACAGTGGTGGAAACAACAAGAAAGTCGATTTACAAAATTCGACGGTTTAAAACGCCTCAAGTTGAAGGCACTGTGGCAAAGGAGAAGTTATGCACTTATCAAAACGGGGTGAATGTAGTAAATTCACATGAGCTTCAGCCAGGAAAAAAAGTACATAACAGATTAAATGCAAATCATATTAAGGTTTTGTTTACCAGCTATAGAGTTGGCCATTCCAGTGTTTGTGTCCCCAGGGTCTCAGGAAAGAATCAACAGCTACTGTCCAAACCTGTTATCGTCCTAATATAAGACCAGCTGTCAGTTAGTCTACCATTTAGTTACTGTAATGATACGATACTCAATCCAAGGGCATCGTATTACTTTACATCCATGTAGCTAATTTGCTATACGAATTGGTCCGACCAGTTATCAAGAAGGTTGGGTTGGTCTCAAATAAGTGGGTCCTAGCGCCGTACATGTGGAACTTCACCTGTCCCGTTTCAGCTGGAATGACAACTTAAGAAAGTCTGAGAATAACTGGCATGAAATGGTTCTTTGTCTTTTGTAAATGCTGCAAAAGGAAACATGTAGATCTATTTGTTCACTCCTTTTTAACTGAAGAAAACGGACCAATAGTTCCTTTACTTAAGTATAAAAGTTTTAACCTCATTATAGCCAACCAGAATTGATAAAACCCGCTCATTCCTGCGTTTTTTAGACATTGAATTACTTGGTGGTCCAGGAAAGAATTGAAAGGCATTGGCTAAAACAAAATACCAAAAATGATGAGCGGAAACCTTCTTAATACAAATATACCGGAGAAAAGAACTTCATCCATCTTTTACAACATTAGTGATTAGGGATTTCGACTTATCTATTGTACTGTAAGTCCCTGAGTCTTTACTGAAGACGAAGGAGAAGATAATGCTTGGGCAGCATATGCATTATCAGAGTACAGAAAGGCTGAGGGGCTATCAGCATGGCCTGGAAGCCATGCCTCCCAGAGGAAGTGCAAAGTCGGACGCTTGCGTGCTCCAAAAACCAAAACAAGGAAATAAATAACTAATCAAGATATTACAATACGTCAGTTGAAAAACTTTTAACCATATTACTGCACAAACCTAGATCACTTCACAAAGAAAGAATGTAAAAGTATGGCGAATGAGAGCTAGAACATTAAAAACATTTCATAAATTTTCGGCAAAAGCACTATTTGCATTTTTTGGAAACGAAGAGATCTAGCGAACGCATGAGTATTCAGAGGGATTGCCTCAAAACTACCGCGGAGTATGAATTGGCAAGTGGCTGTAAAAGGTAGGACCGTAATGCCCCTCCTAAGTTAGTCACTGCCGGCTCATGAGTCACATTGAGGAAGCCTCATTTTCACTGCACGAAAGATCTTGAAGTTTTTCTACGAGGAGGCTATTGGCCAGCCGAGCAACCACATCCCATCGCCGTCTTAGGACACAAATCCTGGGGCTCTCGCAAACATAAATGATTAATGATGATGGCAAGTACTAACAAATAACTTGTGTTTTAATTTGCCGAATTAATATAATTTTTGTAAAGCCTTTTGATTATGAGTTAAATGTGGGAAAACATCAAAGGATGTTTTCAATAAAAGCTTAGACATGCATTTTAAAAGACTAAGATTACTTTTCCAGTTTTTAAAATGATGACTAAGATAATTTTTTTACAGAAACGATGATTTTATTAATCCAGGTCGTGAATGCACCTTTTCACTTATTTACTGTACCGCAGTGAGTCATTCCCGTTGTCGAAAGAAGTCATAATGCTAGGGCAGAAAAGGTATTACCCGGGTAGAGGAGAGCTGAATGCGTCCGGCATGGCCCGGAGGCTATACTCCAGAGCAAAAGTACAAATCGTAGCCTTGGGTGCCCACTTAATCGAAACGTAAAATTAAATGAATCGTCAAGGTACCACATAGTTCCTCTCTCCTTTTAAACGTCGTCCACGGCACAATCCTTGGTCAACCTCTCCAGTTGGCCATTGCAACGTAGTCGGTGCCGTAAGAAAAGCTTCCACGAGACACCTGCACCAGCCATCAAAGATGCGTTCAACAGAGAGGATTTTGGCTCCAGTATCACACAAACCCTTTAGCAATTCCACCAAATCGGTGAGTTTGTCCTGTTTGGGGACTGTATTAGTGGAAGGGAAATGTGCAGGCCATCCTGTATTTTCATGGCTAGTAACACTGGCCCAACAGCAATCATTCATTAAAGGACTGGTTTTAAAATAGTTTCGTGGGGATGGGGTTTGGCGACTATTCCCTCAGGCCACTGTTCTCACGTCAATGCATCCCAGCCATACATCTGTCTGTGTTTTGTCCAGGTGGTAAAGCGGAGGAGGTATCGCGAATTCTCATGAATGATGTCTCCATACAGATACAGCAGGCTGCTCCGTAACGAACTCATCCAAATGGTTCACGGCTAGTGTCTATTCATTTGTTATTAGAATTCTCGCAGAATACTGGAATGGGTTAGTTGCTGAAGGCGGACGTGATTGTCAAACCTTCTGTCGAGGATCGTCACATATTCGCCCATCTACAGCATATGCTCTTCTTCCATCCCGTTAAGGGTTGGCATTCAGCCATGGAAATCAGAGAAGCTGCCCTTTAGGATTAGATTTTTTCTGCTACTATGACTGTGGAGCCATGAGTCCTCCCTGCATTCCAAAGCCATCATAGGAGCATGGCGGATGATATGATACTGGTGTACAGAAGGGCTGAGAAGCTACTGTCACGGCTCGGAGACCATGCTACCCAGTGCAAGTACAATGGCGAACCTTAAAGTGTCCGCGGAATCAAAGCATACCACTATATATTTGCTAACGAATTAAGTATGTATGATATACTACTGAAATCCTTTATCTCAACTGTACTAAAAGCAGTGCATCAGTTTGACTCATAAACACAAGATACGCTTTTCACATACTTATGGTATGCTCATTAGAAAATTTTGTTTCTTTAGGATTTCACCTTCGGCTTAAATTAACTAAACGGCCCTTTATTTCTTTCATCCTGAAATTCGCAATACCCCTGCACTGATGCTGACAATATAGTCGAGCTGGAATCCCAAAAAGTGCAGAACAATTAATCCCAGACTTTAAGGATACTGGATTTATTTCCCCTGTCTAAAAGCAATTTAGTTGAGCAGAACTTTCCTACTATTAAAGTCGCACATGATTTCATAAAACTCCCAAACTTTCGAGAAATCATCCTTAGAGCAATGACCGGGAAAATGCTTCTCTATTTTCCGAAAAGCTGAGTCACAGAAAACTACCTTTCCTTCTACACGTGATGCCTGGGTTTTTTGTCCGCAGTCAGTACCCCAAGGTAGCTGCAACAACGAAGTTTTTCTTTGCTGCATTTAATTTATATCTCAATAACATAGAAGGCGGAAATCAGCCAAGTCTAGTACCATAGCGTTGAAAGAAAGCACAAGCTACAAATTCCTACGCTGCACTAGCTCGCCATAAGTAGTAGTTTAACTTAAAAGTAGACATATTTTGCTGTGAGATAAATATAAAATTAAACCGAAAGTATAAAATACACTCATGGGAAGCTGACGACTAGCTTCCAAAAATCCTTACCAACGAATTACGAGATGCTTAAACTAAATCAGACTCTACGATTGCCAGAACTTTAAAATCCTGATACCTTAACCGATAAGCCTTTTACTTCAACATTGGACACTACCAATTGACGGTCCTTAGTGCAGTCCATCGGGAATGTGTAGCATTACTTAGCTTCAACAGAGTCCTTCATATTAACACCCCTCACTATCAGGATCTCAGAGGAAAACCAGCTGTAACTGCAATAGTTATAGTAAAAAAATGACTAATTTAATCACAGTTCAAAGACTAAAAATATTGCCAGACAAAGAAAGTAAATGACTTTGGTGGAATCATCCATCATGAAATGGTGAAGAGCACATGCCACACATTTGCAGACCCGGACTCAAGTAGGAAAACCAAGTAGACACGCACGACGCTAGTAGATAACATGCTGCCTATTTCAAGGTGTCCGCAATTACCACCCGTTCCATGAAAATCAAGAATCGCCTTAGCCTACTAACAATTTGTAAGTAGAAAAGGCGTCCCAGTTAAGATGCCAAAGTAGGCCCAAAACCAGAGTATAAACACCGCCAACTTAACGTTCAAGGGCTAGACGACCAGCCACAATTACCTGCCAATCAGATAAACTCAAAAGGTAGTTATATTTACGATATAACCAACACCTGTATTGCCAAACCAAATAAAATACAAAGGCGATCAAGGCTGTGGAACAGCGGGAACGGCAGGGCGGTGATCGGTAGGGGCCACGAACGCACTAAGGGAGAGGATAAAGTCAAAGAACCATTGCTTCCGACATCTGGCAAGAAAGCATATTCATTTTTGCATTTGGAGGTATGAAAGACGGCGAAAAGAGAGCAGCGAATAGCTTCACTAGCTTTATTTCACTTCAGACTGAATAGGCACCGAACCGATTTTTCCTCGTTTTAGCTGAAATAAAGAAAAGCCACGCAATTGGATTAGGAGCGAACAACAAAGGCCAGCTTCCCTAGTGCACTTGGAACCAAAATGTTAGAAGTTCAGCCCTATTCACATTTAAGCGTCAGCCCGGCATGTTTTGGAATGCGGCTCTTTCCTAAACAATCGTTTGGAGCAGCATTTGTTTTTACAAAACCGCGGTTAATTAGGAAAATGGGTACAAATGTGAGACAAATAAAAGGTGTTTATTCTATGTGAACCTGAATGATGACCTAAGAATATATGTGAAACAAATGACGGGTCATGCAACTCTGACAATATTAGGCTACCTGAAGCAAAATCACACAGTAAAGGTGTCTTCTCAAACTTTACTTAAAACAAGTTTCAACCAATTCAATATTTCTAAAAACGGATCCAACTCCCGATTGGGCAAAGTCTGATACCGGCAAACTCACAGGATTTGTCTCGTGATAAGCGATCAATTGGATTTACCAAGGACGTACGTCCGGTGCAACTTGTCAGGGTGATGGGATGATTAATGATTAAGGAAATGGGAACTAATCTCACCAAGGAATGAAGAGATCAACATTCCCGCCTCAGCACATAACTCACAGCCAACGGTGCTCAAAAAAGAAGGCAGTTACTAAACCACCGAGTTACACGACTCCTAGTCATTGAACCAATTTTTGAGAAAACCAAGAAAGTACTTCTAAATTCAATCACACTAGCACTGCAAACACAGGTAAATGAGCATTTCAAGCGTGATTCCTCGGCTATCTCATTTTATTACAGTTTAAAAACTACTTTTTAATAAACTTACAGCAACGATAGTTCCACCAGCAATAGATTCCCCTCCCACGCGTAGCACGAACCGACCAAGTGGTTTACAGACATCGTAGATCTCCACACACACAGGTGATTCCAATGCGAGTTCAATTTCAGCGGTGCAACGCCCCAACAAGCACCTATGATGAGTAATACGCGACCATAGGATAACAATTCAAATTATTCAGGCGTCACATTTGAGGAATCGGAATCCCCACCTCGGTTTGACGACATCTTTCTTGCCACGCTCTTCGTCTTTCACAGTCGCGGACAGGAGTTTTGTGATGACGGCAGGTACAGAAGAACAGTGGTAGTAGAATATGACAGGATATCCCCTCGTGATTGGTTGTTGAACATCGAAGATGAGAACTTTCGCACGCAAACGAGTTGTGACTGAGGCAAGAGGCGGATCAGGATCACAGATGACATCACCAGGAGTCAGCGCGAGATCCGCGTCAAGGCCAGAGAGCATCAGACCGACTTGATCACCAGCAAACGCATAGGGCAAAATGATGTCCAACACACCTGTTCCACTACCACCACCATCGCTAGGGACAGCAGCCAGCGAACGAATCGATCGAACTGTACCTGTTTGACCGGAGGGTAGACAGATAATTTTACTGGTGGGGAGGTTCACACCCGCCGATACAGCGCCAGAAACGACACGGCCCGCTACTATTGGTACCGAGGAGCCAATTGGTTTGAAGATATCGCTTACGACGAAACGGAAGGGTGCATCAACCGGCCGCTCTACCTTGTCCAGACTGTCTGTAAAATTATGCCTGCTGATGACTTTGTGAGGAATATTAGGAATTTCCGACAGTGTTTAGAACTCACCGATGATGTCTAAAAGACAGGGTCCACTATACCACGGAGCAAGATGTTGAATATCCCTCTCTGGGGGGGTGTCCGATGAATGCAACAGATTAACACCATAGAGACCGGAGACAGGGCAGAAGACCACATCGGGCTGATTGATAGTCTTCAGCATACGCATCATAACGGTACGGATCTCCTCGAAACGGGACTGAGACCAGGAGACCGTGTCCATCTTATTCACCGCTACGATAAGGCGCGAGACGCCAAGAAGACGCACAAGGCGCGCGTGTTCCTGAGTCTGGCCTCCGGATAATTGCATACCGGTCTCGAACTCACCCGAGGTGGCGTTGACAACCAGCAGAGCGACGTCTGCTTGGGCCGCACCGCCAATCACCTGTGGCACGAAATCCCGGTGACCTGGGGCGTCTAGAAGGACCACCTTCGGATAAAAAAAACAACGCGAACAATTAGAGGGAACAAAGAAGCCTTTAATTGCGATTCTAAAATTGGAGGAAATACAGACGCCTAAGATATAGGAGAAACCAGACGTAAGTTGACTTCACCTTTAAATCTGAATCGCAAAGACGCAAATGTCTAGGACAGTGATGCAACAAATGTGTTGATACAGAGTCGTACACAATTCTGGGTATAAATGTCCTCAAACAAAATCAGAAGGGTCCTAAACCAGTACGTCGAAATAAGAAAAAAGCTGCTGACAAGCATCTTTATCGAATTGACTGTCTCGAAGATCTCCAAATTATTGAATTTAGTAGATGGAGAAAAAGATGAATGATCTTGCTAATAAAAAGAGAAATAGGGACTCACCAAAGATTAAATTAGGTGGCAGTTAAACCAGAAGAGAAGGTACGAATATAATGAAGTTATGGACACAAAATTGATACACGGATAGAAGCCTAAGTTCCTTTCAGTCACTGATGCCTTAACAGTGCGTTATAGGTAAAGTTAGGAAGGATTCAAAGCAATTTCATCTGCTGATTAAAGAAATCGGAGTATATAAGCAGATTTCAGAGTTGGAGGAAACATTGGAAGCCATCTTATGAACTGTGCTGATGAGCCAATCCTTTATCTCACCAATATGTTATGCCGGATTAAACTGCGAAAATTCGAATAAAAGAAATTTAATTGGGGATGAAGAAAAGGGCAGTGCCGAAAGTTTGAATAAAGCTAAGTGGTATAGAAATAAGTCAACAGTACCACTTAAAAACGATGGATATAAGAAACCACATGCGAGAGAACACCTAGAAATTTGTGGATTTTCTGAGACCCCAGCAAAATCGGACTCCTAGAAAGCAAGACACCTGTTTGCTCAAAATAATGACTAAAAAAACACCCCAAAACAAATAGGCACGATGAATGCTTCTGCATTCTAACACGCAATGCTAATATTTTTCAGAAGGGATGGAGTAGCAACAAAATCTCCATCTTCAACATTGTAATTACAAATTCGTGAGCTATAACAGCACCAGAATAACTACGAATAAAGTTAAACACCATGATTCAGGAAACCCGAAAAAAAAACAAGGATATCCTTTTGCATTTGCCATTCTCAAAACTCACAAAAGTCCCTAGATTTCGCAACTGAAACACTCATCTTTACAATGAAAATCAAGTGATCAGAGCTAGATAAAAGTACGGGAACCAAATAAGGTGATCTTTACAACTTTACAAACCCTAAATATGATGAAAGCAGGAATTGACCCATATTCTGCGTCCCGCCAAAACCACAACAGAAAACAGAAAATGAAACAGGAAATCCTGCATTAGTGCTTCTTCACATTTAACATCTAGTGCAGCATGGTTCTACGATGGAGATAACGGGATCGAATCAACATTTTTCGGTAAAGTCCAGATCAAGAAGCTATAATAAGTAACTACGAAGCGTGATAGAGAATGCGGGTAGTAATCACATCATTTCATTTCAACGTGACAACCTCAAACCTGTTTCTAAGCAGAAATGTTGAGTGAAACAAAGGATTATTGGAGTTCTACTTAAGCTACAGTGGGATCAATAGGTGATAGAGGTTTTTACTTTAACAAAACTTTGAAACCTTAACGAATGAAGTTTTCACCGAGAATAGAAACTATAAAAGAGGTAACGCACCCTCTTAGAGTGGGTCTCAAAGGCTATCTGCGCTATATCCATGGTAATGCCTCGCGATCTCTCCTCCGATGTCTGATCTAGCACCCAGGCGTAGGCAAAGGAGGCCTTTCCAATCTTCTGCGCTTCCCACTGATACTTGGCCAGCTGCTTCTCGCTAACGTGACCCAGCTGACACAAAACATTTCCCATCAGAGTACTCTTTCCAGCGTCAACATGACCTGCAACGGACAAGAGATTAGAATGTCGATTAATCCATGTGTAAACGGGCAAGGAGAGTCAACCCACCCACTACAAGGAGATTAATGATATCCTTTTCCTTGCCGGAGCTGATCTTCTTCTGATAGGCATGCAACAGGGAGGAACGATCGATAGGTTTGGCCGGTTGTGCCGACACCTTGGCCTCACTAGCAACTTTTGGAAGGCGAGTAGCAGCGGTTGCAGTTTCCACATGAGGAAGACTAGAGGGAAGCTCAACGGACGGCTTCCCACTAGGATCCTTCGAGGGATGGAGATTTCGTTCTATGCAAAAGGCAAACTCGTTAACAGCGGTACCGTCACAAATAAAAAACTGGAGAAAAATCCCACGTACGAAGCTTTGAAGGTTTAGTGCGGGTTTTCGGCAATACATTTGACGACATTTTGAGGTCTGATGGGCTATAAAATTGAACGGGTTGGGGAGTGTCAAATTTAAATGCATCGGGAGGCTTAGGTGAAGGGGGATTATGGAGGAACAAAAATGTCCTAGGCCGACGTATCTCAACTATCAGATTAAGGATTTGAAGATCCCGCCGTGGAATAGATGAACAACTCTGTGCAAATGCATGCCCCAAAGGAGAAATCTTTTGGCATGATTGGATTGAATCTGAGGCAACGGCATCGACTTTGGATTTTTCTTCATTTAAGGATACGGAAGGAGCAGAGTTTAAGTGTTTAGTAGATCCTGTTGAAGCAGTGGCAAGTTTAGGGCCTTCAGTTAGCTTGGCCAAAGAACTAAAATCAAATTCTGCGAAGTCATTTAATCCACCATCGGACCCGAATGGTTGAAAGGCGGATGATGTCGAGTAAAGGGCACCTTAATTTATCATAAACAGCAAATAACCTCACCTTTGAGTGGATCGCTGATATCCTCAAGGACGAGATTATCAAACTCTATCGACACAGCACTATCCACGACCCCGTCATTATGATGACTCGAAACGGCATTAACTAGGGGTGTCGTACCAATCGTATCCTCCTCAGGAAATTCTGATGCATTGATATTCAACGGCTCATTGGAAAGTGGGCAAAGTGGGTCTGGTCCACGAAAGGAATCCGTCTCTCGCAAATGTTGAAGAACTATTGAATGAAACTAATATAGCACAAACCAGTTCCAGGGGTTATTGAATTCTCCTCCTCGACGGAGCTTGGAACAAGATCATGATAATCATTGTAATCTATGAGGGATTGCTAAAGATACAACTAGTACAACCATCAGAATATAAACGACGAACGTTCCGGTGTCTCGCCATCCCGAGATCGCATAGACCAAACAATGCGCACGGTCATCATAGCTATATAAACTAAAGCAAATTAACTTACAAAGTCAACAAATAATAAGCCTTTTAAACGAAATACGCATTTTTAGAGCAAGATATATATATGCAAGTATTTTCAGATGGCCTATAAATAAAAGTAGGCAGCGGGTGTTTTTTATTCAAAGGGAAGATGCCTGGGGACTTAAGCAATATTACCTGCATTAGAGCGTTTTTGGCTATATATTGTTTTCTATTCAAAATCATTGCATTCTTCAGAAATCATTAAAAGATTAGCATCTGTACATTCAGTTTCATTATAATACCCCTAGGGATATTTTAAAAGCCTAAATCTAAATTGCAAGTATGTTTTGGTTTTAAATACTCAAAAGTAACTTGAGATCAGGAAAATTCTCGCGAATGCACTTAACACTAATGCTATTTAAAGTGATGCTCGAACTTTCTCAATCCGTTTAATTAAGTCGGTTTTATAATTCAAACTAACCCGCAGTAAACGAAGCTTGGTGGCCTACAGGTTGTGATGCCGTTGGTCAGTTTTGGAGAGGTTGAAGTTAACTTTCCCCACGAACCCTATGAGTGTCAAAAGAATTATATGCAAAGTGTCGTGGATGCTTTATCACAGGTTCGTCTACAAATTTCGCCTAGGCTTACAAGTTATTCTTTAGAACATAATAATGGTACCCGGTTATATGTGGTTTATATTTAGTGTTACCGTTTTGTATCCAGTTCTTGGGTGTTTTGAGACTTACTTCATTTTAATAATTTGTGCATGAGTATAGGAATTCTCTTACTTTGTGAGGAGCCTTATTTTTACTTTGTTTCAAAGCGACGACATGCAATTCTGGAGTCACCAACAGGTACTGGGAAGACTCTATGCCTTCTTTGTGCCTCTCTCGGGTGGTTGGAATACTCTTTGGCCCAACAACAGTTAAAGAGACTTGAACAACCGTGGGACAGCACAAGCCCTTGTGGGCCGCTCAATTCATCAAACAAATTTGATGCACCCTTGCTGATATTCTCTTCGCGTACCCACGCACAATTGAATCAGGCTGTTCAGGCATTTAAAAACACTGTCTACTCTGGGTAGGCCTTGCGTGAAATCCACTATCTGTGATGCAGTTTTTCAATACGTAAATTGGTTCTTCATATTGATGTCACGGAACTGTTTTTGCATTCCTCCTCTTTGAGTTGATATTGAGCCAACTTCTGAATTTGGGTGCTTAATAAACCATCAGGGATCTCTTATTTCTCTGTAGCCGCAGAATTGGTGTCCTTGGCTCCCGTGACCAGCTTTGCTCTCTGCCCGAAGTACTCAACCTTGAGACGAATTCCGCCAAGGTATACCAGTGCAGACTGCGTGTTTCCACTCGAACTTGCGAATACTATCGCAATTTCGATGGTGCGTTCAAAATATTTTTCTTTTTCATTGTCATTTAGCCAGTAGAGATAAGCTGTTGGATACAATGAAGACATCGAAAATCACGGATATTGAGGACTTGGTCAAATTTGGTCGGGAGAATAGGTTTGTCTCTTATTTCTCTTTCCATTAGTAGTCTGCTCTTCTGATGAATAAAAGTAGCTTTTCATTTCAGAGCCTGTGCCTATTATTTATCACGAGAGGTGAAATCGGACGCGGAAATTCTCTTCATGCCTTACAATTATCTCCTTGACGTTAAGGTGAGTCGAATTATTCTTTGTAGCTATTTATGCTTAACGCGTACACTGTTGCCCATATTTTCATCTTTTTCAGATCAGAACCCTTTATGGTATTGAATTGACAAATGCTGTTGTTATCTTCGATGAAGCGCACAATATTGTAAGTCATGATGCCTGATGTATATGCGGACCCTCCATGGCCTTCGGCATATTGTTGCGATAAAATTGAACCGAAAGAAGGCATAATAGTAATATTTAAAATTGCAATTGATAACGCTGTTCAACAATATCGTCACAGTTGAATCAAGGGTACATGGCTTTTGGATGTAGTTGAAGCACATTGCTTTGCGCGTTTCTCACTGGCACAAATAGGTATATGGGATAGTGAGATCGCTTGTGGGTCTTTTCAGACATAAGCAAGGATAATTCATGGGTTTTGTGACGGACGTTCTGAGGGGGTTTCACGACGAAATTTATTTCTCTCAAGCCACATCTCATGTCCAAAGAAAGCGTTAGTTACCAAAAAACGACTTTATTCACAGACCAGATTCAAGGTCGTGAGTTGGTAGGTCATGGCTTTCTTTTGTCTTATATGAGGATCTTGTTGAGTGAGTACAACGCAGAGTAAGAATATCAAGGTGTTTGAATATCTAGTCGTCAAAAGCCGTATTCGGAGTACTGACTTCGGTGCAGAAAAACTTTAATAGCTAATGGCTTTCAATGAAATCATGGCCTGATGGTGTTTTAGGAGCAGGTATGCGAAGATGCCGCCTCAGCCACTCTCACCTCAGCCTTTGTAGCGTCAGCAATCGAGGAATTGCGTGTTATCGGCGAGTACATCTTCAGCCTAACCTCTGGTGGTGAGGGTGACGATATCGATGGGTTGGGAGGGCTAGAAGGCATCGCGCAACCCCTCGGTAGGGTGAACCGACTAGATATCTCCCAGCCCACTAATGATGGTGGTAAGTTGTTTTATTTTTTGTGCTACGTATTTTCTCCAGGGATTAAATCCGTCAGTTTATCGCGGATGTCTTCAATTCAACTACTGACCGGAGTTTGCCTCATGGGTGTTGTCAACTTTCCGTCTACGCATTTTTTTGTTTCAAGGCTATCAGCAGTATAAGCCACAGTAATAGAAATGCTTGAGAGGCACTTCTAGACAACTTCGATGCTATTTCATGTATGCTTGGCTCTCGGATCGCTTGAGAGTCAGTCTTGGGTTTTGTGGGCACATCTGCAAAATAACCATTTGGGGCCATCTTTACTATGACAGATATACGTTAAGGTAATTTCATCTAACCTGTACAAAAAGGTATTATTTACATGTACCACAGATACCACACTGCTTTTATTTTTTGTTGCGTATGCTTTTTAAAAGCTTCTTACGGGCAGCTAAGGCGTAGGTTGAACCTAGAAGGCAATTAATGGTCTAAGCTATAGCTTTGTTTCTGTTAGGATCATAAGGAAACTAAATGAGACTTTTTTACGAAACTTCACCCAGTTTTCTAGATTGTTATTTCTATTATTAGGTGTTGGGAAACGGTGATCTTACAATTACCGTTTTTAAATATCTGACAATAAAATTGTCACCTGGCAACGTCTCAGTTGGCTAAGCCATTTGGAGTTTGTGCTTGCTTTTCAAGGAACATGAACGGACAATCATGGCTCCATTTCACTCATGCACGCTTAGTTTAAAATACTATTACTTGAAGAAGTGATTTAGTTCACAACAAGGTTCATAAATGAGGTCTTTTGCAAACTTTCTTACTACTTATTTGTTCGAAAATTGTTAATAGGATGAAGTACCAGCAAAAGTATAGCACCATATTCGACTTAGCATACAAGTAAGATACATCTGCGAGAAGTTGATGTGTATTCTCGAATTTGACGTCTACAAAGCGCTTTTTTTGCCTTCACAGCTGCTGCGATTGGTCTTTCAAGTGTTCTCACCCTGAAAGGCCAGCTGCTTGAGCTGGAACGACTTCTCGATGGCCTCGGTGACAGTGCTTCAACCACTGATACCATCAAACCTGGAGAGTATGTCATTTCCTCGCCAACTTACCAGTTGCTTGTTCATGGATTAATATAACTTTATAATTCTTTCTCTTCGCTAGATATGTCTTCGAATTACTTGGACAGGCTGGCATAACCATTAATAATCACGGGCAAATCCAAGATTTGATAGACCAAATAATCAACGCTTCGATTTCCATGGATGGTAAGTTTGTTTATTTGATTCTCGAGTAATAAATATTATCTGACATTCTGTCTAAAATTCATCTTTAGTGGCAAAATTCAGAAGGGGTCGAGGTTTGTCCCATGTATCTGAGTTTCTGCAGGTGAGGTGGCATCTACTTTGATAAATTGGACTGGTATTTGACATGAGAAATATATTTAGCCAATTACTACTACCTGTAGCAGTGTGCTATGCCTCCAAGCCTTCAAAACGGTTCATCGCCAATGTTGCTTAAATAATGAGAGTAACAGTGATATTTTATGCAGTTGGGTTCATGGGCAGTAGTTAATTTCTTTTTCTCCGTAAAGGTGATATTTTTGCGCCCCATTCTCTCCAGAAAGTCTTTGTCGATAACACCGGCGGAAAGTCATCATCGCTGCTAGCGCGTCAACGCTCTGCGAGCTGTTTTCGCGTCCACGTCAAGGTGGAGTTTCCCTCAATGAGGAACTTTAAGGAAATAACGGATGTGTGGGGAAAGAATCCAATTTCCATAGTTGATGGAAACAGTGGCAGCGGCAGGGAAACCAAAAACGTCTGTCTCAGCTATTGGTGTCTTACACCGGGACGGTAAGTTTGCCGCAATGCTCCTGGCTCTCAATAATCCCCAGGATTTCGTAGGTAGTTTTGTTACTGAGGTACAAAAGGGCTTGGGGACTAGTTACATAGCTGACAAGGGTAGGGTTCTGTGACACCTGGGTTTGGGCCGACAGAAAAGAGCTGGTGAGATCTTATGTTTTGCCGAGGAGAAGTAGTATTCTATTAAAACATTATGGTAGTGTAAAAGAATTTGTTTTGGCTTAGAAGGGACGGAAAGGTTGAATTTTTATTACGCTCTTCAAACCTTTTCGATTCTAAAGTTTTATCCCATTATAACTAGGCTTTTTTGATTCAGGCATATTCTGCATGACTGCATGTCGTTTGCTTTGACTGTTCTCATCGCTTTTTGAGGGGTATCTCCTTCAAATTACTTTTCAGACTGTTTGTTGATGAAATCAAAAGTAATTTGATATCTTGCTGCTATTTTCACACGCAAATTTCATCGTAGCGTCGAGGGTTTGTGACATTTACCAAACGGCTTATTTTCGAATTTGTGACCATTGAAAGGAGTGTGCATTTACTTTCCCCACTTCAAAATGAACTTAAATGAATATCCCGTCTTCATGCTTTGTCATTCGTGTGGAATCGGTTAGAAATAAGTTTTTTTAAGGCAAGCAATAAGTAACTGCAGACAGTAACTCCAGAATGTTTTATCCGTATAAACGTTCCTCATCACAATCCATCATCCTTGCCGAATCCGAGAAAAGTTTGCGAATTACAATCTTGTCATGCCTTATACCCTTAAAACAGAATGAAGTCTACTTCTAGTCGACTCTTTTTCTAGTTCACTTTGTTTTTCAACTACCGAATTTCGAACGTTATTTTATAATCTCAAGGGGCGGTGATGCTCGCCACCTGGAGTCATGTAATCAGGGAAATATTGAGGAGGCGGACCAAATAGTGTCCTTTACCCCATCCTTGAATGCAGATGGGGGCTTTCTTTCGATTTCAGTTTTGAGATGTGCAAGTATGAAACACTTATGGGGTGCATGGATCTCAGTCGTACTCCTTTGATCTGCACCGAGTGAATGACTCATAGTGAGGGATTCCGTCTGATGTGTGTTACACAAGGTAACCGTTGTCCTATGTGGAAAAAGTGACTAATGACGGAAATGTGAGGTAGGTGGTGTAGGCAATGGTTTACTTTTGGATAACCGATGATATGCTCGTCGCTGAACGTTTTAATGAGTATGACGGTCATTTTGTGCTATGAGGATCGAGAATAACAAGAAACCAGCACGGAGAGCGATAATAGGTACCCTACTGACAGGCTGAAGCATATATCTATCCCGTATAACACTCTTATGTTGTTTACTTATGTGAGCACGGACACTGTCGAGATCTCAATCGGTGTAATCAAAAGGTAAGGCTTCTGAGAAACGAGGTTTTTGCTTCCAGTAGGACATGTACATTCGGGTCTCGGGAACTGTATTCGCGACCACCAGTTGAAGTGCTGGACTGTGGGATGGTTCAAATTCCATTTGATTGACTGTGGCCTTACTGTGGACACCAGCACACTCCACTTGTCTCCACTTGAGAACTGACCGATCAGGGGTCACTCAGCGAGGGCATTAGCTGCGGTGTTTCAGAACTCCCGAAAAAAAACTGGTAGAAACCCGCAAAGTTGAGAAAAGAAACGCAATTTCGGGGTTGCGGTTATCTGTAGTTAATTTATGCAAACGATCCCATTGCAATGATCTTTGCAAGTCACTGCAACAAACTCTATTGATGAACGCATGAACTTTTGCCAACTTCGTTGACTTTTGTAATATTCTATCCGGAATTCTTGTTTCGAATCACCACACACGTTTTACTCGTTTTTCTAACTGCGTCTGCAGTGAAACTGCTCCTTGTGAATCTCAATTACATTAAGTGGTGGATATGCTCCTTTACTCCTCCAATTATAGGAACTGTTTCTGAGCAAGTCCTCATTACGATCTCCAAAATCATTATTTGGTTAGATACCTACTTATATCGTCGCATCTGATGGGCTAGAGTAACGAGTTGGTTGAAATGTGGCATCCTTGCCGCTGAAATGCTCTCAAGTACCTTCGGTGCATTCGTCTGATCATTACCATTTTTAGAGCAATGCACGAACTCCTGGAGCTGAATGTACGCAACATAATTCTTACCAGCGGCACCCTCTATCCCATTACATCACTTCAGGCGGAATTGGGTCTGTAAGCTTGAATTTTCCCACCATGCATAATCATCACCCTTCATTTTTTTTTCTCATAACTCGATTTGCGCTTGTCCTTGTTAAGGCCTTTCTATTGCCTGTTGCTTGATCAGTCAGATTCGACCTTTACTTCTAGGCAGTCGGCGATAGTGCTTCAAAATCCCCACGTCGTAAACTCCGACCAAATTCACGTTGCCGTGCTGCCAAAGGCTCCAGACGGTGGAACACTCAATTCCAGTTTTGAGCACCGTGCCAACTCAGCCTATCATCGATCTCTTGGTCTGACTCTTAGTAAGTAAAAAGGGTTAAACACCCATTTGACCTTTTATTTCACGTCAAATGGTCCTCTGTTATTAATGCTTTGTAGTGAACCTCTTCCGTGTTGTACCAGGCGGTGTTCTTGTCTTCTTTCCATCCTACGCGCTTATGAAAATGTGTCTGGACGCGTGGCAGGTGAAAGAGACTGTTATCTCCTGTGAAATGTTCGTAGATTAGTTTCTCATTGCCCACATCTGAAGATGTGCATCTCCACTCTCCAATAGTGGCTTGAAACTTCTATCTGGTTTTCAAGCAACAGGTCTACCATCCGATTAGATTGAGAGCTTAATATGTTGAGAGTGTTCTTACTACTTTTACAATACTGGTTTGGGATAAATTGGGATGCTGAAAAAAAAAGTTTGTAGTTCACTGACTTGTCTAACTTTTATGGGTGCCTTAGCATTGGAAATTGGTTGATCAATGAGAAACGACTTACATTTACTAACTTAACTGAAAATAACGGAAGACTGGTGATATCCGTTTGATGTAAAAGTGGTGACATTGGTGGTTTTATTATGCATTTCAGAACTCAGATATCTACAACAAATTCCTTGACTCCAAGAAGATCTTCACTGAGCCTCGAGACAAGACTCAATTCCAACAGGTAAACACATTCTGCTTATCATCTTCTTGTGGTGTGTCTACCAACTTCGAGGTCTCCTGCTCTTTAAATGACGGTGATTTCATTATTTTTTTCAGCCTTAAGGCTCTCAAAGTTTTAAAGTTGTAGGAAGTGTGACTGGCAGTGCAGCTCCCTTTAACTCCTCTCCGCTTCCTGCAAGTAACTGTTTCCATCACTTTAGAAATCCTTCCGTAATTTCCTTGATTTGTTGTAGTACATTGGGATGCATATTTGCCATTGTGGTCACAAATTGCGTGATTTTTGTTCTCGGCTATTACACAAAACCTGAAATAATCATTTGTAAACATTTTTTTTTCGTGTAGTCCATCTTTTTGCATATAACCCCCATAGATAACCACAGGCTATATGGAGGCGGCCACAAGCACCGCCGGAGGTTCGGTGCTCTTTTCCGTGATGCGTGGTAAGGCCAGTGAGGGTTTGGACCTGGCAGACCAAACCAGTCGTGCCGTGGTGATTGTTGGCATCGCCTATCCACCACAGGAGGATCCTCGTGTCAAAATTAAGATGGCTTTCCTTGACGAGCGGCGCTTCCAAGCGGACAGCATCAAGGATCTACCCACTGGCCGACAATGGTACAAGCTTCAGGCTTGGCGTGCTGTCAATCAGGCTGTTGGAAGGTGTGGAATTTTTGATGCTGATAAGTTAGGTAGCATTGTTTTAAAAACCTGTCATTTTGAGGGCGTCTCACTTCCTGGTAATGTAATTTTGAAGGACCCTCCACTTACTGAAGTTCGTGTTTTTAGCTCTGGTTGCCTTTTGACATTAATCAAACAATTTGCTTGCTATTTTTGCAGCAGCACACATTTTTCTTGTATCTTAGAGTGATTCGCCACATTCACGACTTCGGGGCTGTCTTCCTCTGCGATGAGCGTTTTGCATCGCCTGAGGCACGTTCCCACCTGCCCACTTGGATGCGCTCCAGTGTCTGCGTCTACGACAGCTTTGGCCCCGTTCTCAAGGCGGCCAGTGAATTTTTTCGGACAGCCCAGGCGAAGGTAACACTGTTGTCATCCTCTTCAATCCTTCTCCTTTCATCTGCTAGTACCCAACATTTTTGAAAGGCCCCATGAAACCGTTACCTGCTAGGAGAAGTTCCACGCCGGTGGGACATACAGCCCCATCGCGACTTGGTTTGGCTCTGGATGGCGGTGTATTAAGATTCCCGAGTGCTGCAGGTCATGTAGGTCTTTTAGAATTTTTTTAAATTATGACTCGTTATTGGCTAATTATTTATATTCCAGGGGGAGACATTGCGACTGCCTAAACTACGGACGGCAGTTTTACCACATTACCATAGTGACAGAATTACTTCTGAAGATTTTTATTAGTGCCAATTAAATTTACAGAAAGGCAATA